ATAATAACATGCGCCTCATGAAAAGTTACATTATGACTTCTGAAGAAGCTTTGATAGAACTTACAAATAAGCAAACAATGGCACAAAATAAGAAGAACAAAATGCAAGCTAGAAAAGTGAAAAAATAAAATAGGAGGCTAATTCAATTAAGACTCAAAAACAATTGGCAAAGCAAGCTGGTTTGTTTAACAAACCTACTATTAAAAGACGGAAACGACAACTAGTGGAAGTTATCGAAACACCGATTATGTCAGAATCCTAAGCGGCCTCCATATATCAACACTGTAAATCTGATGGTTATTTGAATTCAAAAAAATGTCAAGCTTGTTACATTTTTTTTGGAGATGAAACTGCAGCTCAATAATAATTAAAGATGCGTTGCAAATCCTGTGACAATTGGATCTTGTTTTGGATCTTGCTTTTCTAATTTGGTGAACGATATGTGCAAGAATTGCCAATAAACTAGTATTTTTTTATAAAAAAACTTCTTTTTAACTTTATTGAAAAATATCTTTTTAATTTTATTAACCAGTGGTGTAGTGCACGTAGCACATATATGCCCCCAAGAAGTCCATGTGGACTTTTGTGTGATAAGACCATAAGAACTTCTTAGGGCACTTGAACAACAAAAAAAGGAGATAAAACCCAAAGTAATAAAGTAGTTGACTAATTATAACAAAAATAAAAAATAATATTATTAATACTTAAAAAGGTATTTTTTTATCTGCTCCATGTTGTTTTTTTTGGCAACCCAAAAGACTTTTTTTTAGAGTCTGGGACAACACTCTTCTTGATTACTGGTATTACCTGATATCATCATTAAACAATAAAACAGCATTTAAAAATAATTTTTTATTATTTGAGACGTGATGCGTTATTAGGATTTATATAGCAACCGAACTTATAAGATGGTATTGAAAGTTTGGTCAAAGTAGATGTTCTCATTTGAAATTAAATATTGAGTACTAGTTTTATGCTTGATAAATAAATGTAAATAAATATATTATTTATGCTTGATAATTGTTACAAAAACTGATCTCGTGAAAATTTTAACTATAGAAAACATATTTGTTTAAATGCAAAAGTTGTCATTTTTAAAATTTCATGTAAAAATATATAATTTTTTTTTCAAATTAATAAAAAAAACATCCAAAAAATTCTGGAAAATTAAAGTAGTTTTGAGTGAATTTCCGGAATTTTGGGAATTCCCGGAAAAAAATCATCTATGGTATTAACAGCCATGGTCAAGTTTTCAAAATCACAGAGTATTTGGGTGGTCATATTATAACATGAAATTGCACGCCTTCCTGGCCAAGCCTGCATACATACATGCATAAATACATATATACATACATACATACATACATACATACATACATACATACATACATACATACATACATACATACATACATACATACATACATACATACATACACACATACATATATACATAGCAAATGTATATAACAAAATTAAATTATCGCAAATATATATAACAAAAATTAAAACAAAAAATGTTACCATTAAAATTACTAATGCTAATTGTTTTCTTGATAACTGAGTTGAAATGCGATTAGTTTATGTAAATTGTTAAACGAGTTAACTATGTTGATTGCAAAGACTTCACAAATAGTGACAGAATTTTAAAAGACTTCACAAATAGTGACAAAATTTTAAAAGACTTCACAAATAGTGACAGAATTTTAAAAGACTTCACAAATAGTGACAGAATTTTAAAAGGATTTTTAAAAAAATTTAACAATAAATTAATTTAATTTGTTTTTAGTTAACAACTGAAAAAACTAATGAAAAAAGAACTTTAACTAGGTGTATAAAAGGCAACCATTGACTTTAACATGAAGTGAAACTAAGAATGCATAAAAAATAAAGATATAGCTTTTGTCATAATATCTGTCAGCGAAGTGAATTAAAAGTATTTTATCATTAATAAGAAAAATATTTTAGACGCTTTTGGAAAATAAAATATTTTGTCACTTTTGAAATACACCCATTTTGCTTGCTAAAACTTATTTTTAAACCCAGATATTTTTAAGTGGTCAAACTTGACCAACAAGAACTCATTTTAGGATATTAAAACAGAAATTTTAGTCATTTTGGGTACTTGTTGACTGTTGTTATTTAAAAGCATTTTTAGAGTGTATATCCATAGTACATAGTTTTTTCCTTCAAAATATGAATGATTTATACTGCAACTAAAGTTTTCATTAAAGAAATACCAACTAATTTTTTTTTTATTACATTAGTTGTTTTTTTTTATTAATAAAAGTGTTTATATAAAAGTAAAATAAAATAATGTAAATAACTCTCAATTTATTGAGCATATTTTATTTAAATAGGAGTTAAAACCAAAAAAGGTTTTTTTGGTTTAAACTCCTATTTTTTTTGAAGCCAAGTTTAGTCAACTTTTATAACTAAAAATTTATTAAAGGGATCCCAAACCTCCGAGACATGTTGTGTTCAAATTAAAGAAGAATAATTTAAAAAAAAGTTAAGGCTAAATTTTTTTGATTAAGACAAAAGAATAAATGCATACTAAGAAAAAATAACTTTTTTTTTGTAGTCAAAGCTTGCCTCCATTTTTTTGTAGGCCTAATAGTCTTTATAATATACGTATTAGGGCATTTGTTCATTTAAATGTAAACAAATTCACCTTTGTTGTTGTCCAAGAGAAAAAAAAGGTACCAAAAGGAGAGCAGAAGTTTTTGCTTCACCAAAGGCAAAAAAGGAAGATGGGAATTGGTGGAATTAATCGTATTCTTTCAACTAAATTACAAAAAAACGTAACAAGAGCCTCTAAGACGAACAAATCTAGTTTAGATATTCACAAAATTCAAAAGAAGTGTAATATTGAACAGCATGAGTTGATGTCATCTTCAAGTGAGTCGGAAGGTAAAATTTCTTTGCATGATATGCTTAACTTACCTTCCTTATCACAAATAAAGAAAATAGAAAAAAATACAGTTAAGTTTGCCTATGCTGTCAAAAACCTTTCCGACATAACAGCGGCTGCGATTTTTTCTTCAGTATTGCACAATATATCTTTGAATATTGAAGTGGTAGATAAATCAAAAATATGGCGGGAAAGGAAAAAAGAACGTAATAAATTATATAAACAACAAACGCAGCTTCATTAACCTGCTTTATACTTGATGGACGAAAAGACAAGACGCTAAATATTGTGAAGATGATTTGATGGCTATTGATTGCGTTGGTACAGTCACTAACACAGGAAATTCAATGGCATGATTAGAACCTTTGAGAAAAGGCTTCAATCCCCCTTACAGTGGATTATTTGCATGCAACATTTAAACAAGTTACTTTTGAGACATCTATTTATCAAATTAGATAGTGTTACCACTGTCCGATCCTCACAAGCTGGTCCTATTTAATATATATCTTAATATATATTAAATATTACCAATAATAACCTATAAAATAATACAAAGCGAACTTCCAGAAGTCAAATTTGAAGATCTGAGTACAGATCAAAAATACTTATATGAAACAACAATGGCGGTTATTAGTGACAAGTGCACTGACAATTTGAGTAACAGATCTTCGGGTAAGATGTTCCAAGCCCAATGGTTAACAAAAGCAAATAGAATTTGATTATTATTAGGAGTATATATTTCTACATCAAATCCATCAAATGAATTAAAACTATTAGCTAAATATTGTGTTAAAGTTCCATGCTCCTAAGTTCCATGCTCCAGTATGGTTTCAAATAAAAACAAATCCAAATTGCAATGTTGGGTCTAGGAAATTTTGAAAATTAATTTAATGTTCTCGATATCTGCCAGCACAGCTTAAACTAATATTAGGAGGATACTTAAAGCACAAAATTTACCTTATACAGGAAAGATACCTTGTGTGTTTGAAGTACCGCAAATAAATTTGGATGCCAATAGTTATTTGAGCTCATTAATTGGCAACTAAATCATTTTGATCCACCATTTTTTCGACACATCACTAATCAGAAATTAAACGAGGTTATTGAGCCTCAGGGATAATTCAACTTAAATTACCTAAAGATACCATGTCATACGCAGACAGTCAAACGCTCTGTGAAAATAGTGACAGAGGCATCTATGTCCTTATGCGATAAAAAATCAAGAGAAAGTTTAATACAAGCAAAACTTGCATCCAGAAAAACTATACCCCGATTTAACAGTAAACAAGATTTTGTGGTCAAAACATAATCAGTTTGGTTTTATTTTACAGTATATTAATGTATATTAATACCAAATTTCAATACTATGCTTATTTTTTATGCATTTTATATTTTATTTCTTCATTTTCTACTATTATATATTTGTTTCTTAATAAAATATATACATTTAACCTAATAATAATTTAACATAATTTAACACTGTTTTTTCGAAAATCCCCCAAACTTTAAATCACATGTGCAGGCTAAAGATACAACTTTATTTAACTTTTTATGGACAGTTTTTATTTGTTTATTTTTCATCACTATTATCAGTTTTTATTTGACCTAAGACAACATAGTATCACTATTAGAATATGATAAAATAACTTTTATTTTTTTCCTATTTATAACAACCCATCCTAATATATATATATACATAATATATATTTTTTAATTAAATTATTTTTATAGCTTTATTAAACTGTTTTATTACTATACTTTATATAAAAAAGACTTTCAATAAAATAATTTCATAAAAAGTATTTTTTTATTTTATTAATTGTGGCAGCTTTTTTAGTGTTTGAAATTAATAACTTCAGATATGGAGCAATTTTTTAACTTATGGTATATTTATGCTTATATTAAATGATCCTTTGCAAAAAATTATAGTGATTGCAGCGAGTAACAAACCTCAAACACCAAGAAATGATGATGCAATCCCTGACTTTATATATCAACATTTTATAAATCTACTTATTCTCAATATTCTCAAATTTCAAAATAAAATAGAATAATATCAAATTTATTTTAAAAAAATAATTCATACTTCAACATGATAGTTTGGTCCAAATAAATGTTCAACCATTTCATTTTGGTTTAACCAGTCAGCCATTTCTGTACATAAACTAACATTAAAAATTTATTTTAAAAATTGACAAGGATATAATTGTTTATTTATTAATTGTTTATATATATATTTTTAAATTGTTTATTATATTGATTATTTATCGTAATATAATTGTTTAACTTAAAAAGAAATAGTATTGAAAAAAATTTTAATAAGGGGTCTTCCATAAAGTACGTACGCTTTTTTTTTGCTATAAACCCCCACCGCAAGTTGCCATATGCTTTTTTGATTACTCTCTACCTCCCTAAAAGTATCTATGCGTTAACCTTCCAACCCAACATTTTATGGTTTTTTTTTTTAATTTAGTGTCTCCATACTTTTAAAATTGATCTACTTAAACATAAACTAACATAAAAAATTTATTTTAAAATTGACAACCCCCATATCTCAGAAACGCCATTTGTACACCCCCTTTTTCTCTCCGAGCATACGTACTTTATGGACGACCCCTAAGCAACCGGAGTTGCTATCAAAATTTATATATATATATATATATATATATATATATATATATATATATATATATATATATATATATATATATATATATATATATATACTTATATATATATATATACTAATATAAAAAAAACATAAGAATAATATGCTTATTATATATAATAATAAAACAAAAAATATGCATATGTATGTATTGTAGATATACATAAATATGTATGTTAAATTATACTTTTTGACTAAGTTATAATGTTTTTTGAAAAAATAAAATTTTATAATAAAAAACATAGTTTGAATTTATGGTAGATTTTAATAACATTTTTCATGTTGAAACATATAGATAGTACGTAATTATAAACCAAAGCGACAAAAAAATAATTTAAATACAAAAAAATAATTTAAAGAAATTATTCCGGCTGCTCTGCTAACCATTATAGATGGAGAAACTATATCAACTGCAGCAAAACAATTTAATATTCCACATACAACATTGATTGATAAATTACTGGGAAAACATCAAACACATTCTATAGGTGGTAAAACAATTTTTTTTAAAAACCAAGAAGAAACTCTTGTTGCTTTAAATGGCTGATAGAGGGTTTCCTCTCACAATAATGTGGTTAAGATCTGCTGCTTATTTTTATGCCAAAAGCTTGTGTAGGCATCATTTATTACAGAAGTCCATTCCAAAAAATTGGCATAATAAATGTTTGGCATCATGTGATTGGTTTCTCTCATTTCGAAAAAGGCATACTTAGTTGACAAAGAGAATTCCTGAAGGGCTTCCTCGAGCAAGAGCAGAAGCATTTAATGAGAATCACACTCAGACATTTTTAACGATTTACAACTTTTTATGAACAGCTTAACATAAAAAATTATCCAAATTTAATTTATAACTGTGATGAAACTGGCCTTTCATCTGTGTCAAATGCCTCTGCTAAAGTAATAGCATTAAAGGGTTCTCATGAGGTACAAAAGTTGACTATTAGTGAACGTGGCACACTAACAACATACCTGGCCACTGTCAATGCAGCAGGAGACAGCTTACCACCATTTTTCATATTTAAGGGAATAAAAATTCTATATGCATCTAAATTTCCTTTGGGTACAAAAGTACATTGCAGTAAAAGCGGATATATTGATCAAGAGATTTTTATTGCTTTTTTACATTATTTTAATGAGTTTTGTACAAAAGTGAATGGGAAAAAAGTATTGTTATTTTTGGATGGCTACAAAAGCCATGTGACTATTGAAGCGATTGAATTAGCAATAGAAATGGATATTGAAATAATATGCATTCCACCTCATAGTACACATCGCCTTCAACCACTTGACACATATGTTAATAAAGTTGTTAAACATATGTGGTCTGAAGCTTTGTCTAATTACTTAGCTGAAAATGATGATATTTCTTTGCCTCAATGCAACTTTCACATTATTTTTAACAAAATATGGCCCAACATACTTACAAAAAGAGGATTGATTGTTAATGTGTTTTACCATTGTGGTTTGCATCCCCTAAGAAACCCAGTGAAAGACTTCAAATATAAAAAAGCAGAGGTTTTTAATAAAGCAACAATTCACCAGGGAGACCCAAATTTATCTATTTTAAGAACTATTGTACCTTCTCCTGAAAAAAAAAGCAAACCTACTCATTCAAAACGCCACATTGCTCTTATTACATCACCAGATAATGTTATGTTAATAAAAGAGCCTCCTGCTAAAAAGGCTGCAATAAAAAATGTGGTCAGTGTTAAACAGAAGTCAAAAAAGGATCACATTAAATCAGTTAAAAACAAACCAAAGAAGTTTTTTTTTAAGCTGATTCTGATCACCCAAGTTTTATTCTAAATAATAACACTGATAAAGACTTTTGTTGTGTTTGTGCAGTAGTAAATGAAGATTGGCTTGAATGTTTAAGTTGCAATCAGTGGGCATGCGAAGGATGTTTTGGAGTTGATACATGTGCAAATTGTGTGCAAAGAACATATAAACGTCTTGTAAATTCTTAAATAGTCATAGTAGTGATATAATTTTTGTTATTACTTTAACATGCTATTGCGCTTGCGTGGTTATACGGTTTTCATTTATGCCAAAATCATTATTTGATATTTTCTAGGAAAAAGTTTAACAAATGATGTCTTATTAGATTTTTTTTATTTCAATTCACCTCCTCAAGGCCATGAAAGCCACTGCAGTTACATATCTCTCTTAACTCTAAACTCCTAAACATGAACCTTGACGATTAATGCTAGTGCTCGGAGAAACAAGTTGAGCGCAGTACTACCAGGGAGGCGGTGGGAATCGAACTCACAACTTCTAGGTTTACTATTCTAGATTAGAGGAATCATCCTACTGTGACCTCAAAAATGTTTTATGTCAAAGTTTTTTTTTCTCCTAGGTAAGCTGCCTTTACCACTAAAAAGAAATTTTGTCTATCGCCCGCGTGACGTATTTTTCAATTAGTTTAACTGTACTGACGAATTCGCCCCGTAATTGACTTGATTGAAGAACTTGCCCCTCATGACTTGATGACAAAAAAATCAAGTTATACGCTAAAGTAACTTTAGAATTTATTTTGATTCAATGCATTAACAAAGTAGAGACCCTAATTAATAAAAAAAAGTTTTTAAACTAGAAAAGTTAACTTATTTATATGCGAATTCGTTTTGTTAAATTAAAACATGACAAACTCGCCCCGCCTTACCCTATATATATATATATATATATATATATATATATATATATATATATATATATATATATATATATATATATATATATATATATATATATATATATATATATATATATATATATATATATATATATATATATATATATATATATATATATATATGTATATATATATATATATATATTATATATTTAAATATTTTGTATTACATATTTAAACATATTGTTAATATATATTAAATATATTGTATTATCAAGCCTTGTTTTAAAACAATACGCTTAGAGCGATTTACGTACTCCTTAAGCAATTTTTACGTACGCATAGAGCAGTTTTGGTTAAGCTACTTTATATCATTTTTTAACTTTCAAATTATCGGTAACATAAAAGAAGCAATTAATTTTTAAAAAAAACACATTAACTTTTGAATAATAATATATAAAAATATTCATTACAAACAAGAAATTACGTTAAAAATAATTGTAATAACTTTTCATCGCGATAATTTCATCTTACCTTTTTATAGCAATTAATTTTACGCTAAACTTTTTATCTATATACTTAGCAACATGAAAAAAGTTCATCAATCCTTAACTACAAATTTTTTGCAAATATTTTTAATAAAAAGTAGCAATTTTTATAATTTTTCAGTAAAAAACTTTAAAAAAATCTATATTCCAAATTTATTAATATAGAATATAAATGTATTTTGTAATATAGACTTTTTCAGAGTTTTTTACTGAATTTTTATTAAAAACACTTGCAAAAAATTTGTATTTCACATTTTTTTTAATATCTCAAAAAAAATTTCTTAATGTTTTTGTTATCATGATAACAAAAAAATCAAGACTTTTTTTCGAGATATTAAAAAAAATGTGCCAATGAATGAACAATCTATTTTTATTGTACTAAAAATTACTTCTTCATTAAGTGTTACTTTTTGTTTTTCTTCTTAGTTAAAGATACCTTTACCTTTAAGTTATTTAAGACTATAACATCTGCTGATGACACTAATATTATGTTGAATATATTTATATAGTGGAGGTTTTAATATGCACGTGCACACTACAGACTCCATTAAATAAATACTAAGACAAGTTTTAGTCTCTATTCTTTACTAATGACTATGTATTTTTCTATATAAAATAAGACAAACTAGTATATAAAAACCTAGTATATTTCGATTCTCTCCAAGTTGTTCGAATATGGATTGTATTTTAAGGGACAAAAGATTTTGAAAACTTTTAAATCCTGAGACTTTGCCGATGCTTTTCGAATTAAAACAGAAAAAGAGAAGACTTACGTTATTAAAATCAAATGTAAGTTATGTGATCATCAAAATAAAATATTATCCAAAACCAATGGTGCTGTATGGGCAGCTGCCCTACGATTTATAAATGACGCAAGTCATGTAAAAGTAGTTTAACATGTTAAAATATTTTATTTAAGTTTGTATATAAATAAAAATAAAATTTAAAATTTGTTCTTAACAAAGATTACGTATTTTTTTTTTTTTTAATTTTATTATTCTAAACTAAATTGCTTACAAAAAAAAAAAAAAAAATTTTGTAATTATACATAGAATGAAATTACTTTTGCGTTTGTTTATAAGTTAAGGAACTTAATTTTTAATGAACAAATTTCAGCAAACGTTTATTATAAAAACATAAAACTCAAATTAATATGAATGAGTGTGCATAATTAAGACTTTTATATTTAATTAAATTTTTTTTTTTTAATTTCATAAAACTCAAAAAAAAAAATTTAATTGTAAAAAATTAGTTAGGTTATTTATTTATTGCGGTAGTTAAAACACTTAACGTCTATAAAAAAAATAAAGATAGTTT